ACCTCTGCCGGTGTGGGGGTCTTGGCAGGGCGATGGAGCCTTTTCTGGAGAATGTAGGACACACCACGCCCACCCCAGTCCCCAGCCGCCAAGCCCCATGACAGCTCTTTGACTGTCACCTGTCCCTCAGGTCTCTCCTGAGGGACAGGTGGGTTCAAAGCACTGACTGTCTGGTTTATAGTCTCGCACGAACTTCCTGCTCCGCCCGGGGACCTGTGTCAGGAACCCCGGAGGGGGTGGGGGGCAGGGGGCAGTCCTGGACCCACTCCCCGGGATCTGCATTCTCCAAGCCCAGGGCTCTGCTGGTGCGTCTGCAAGTCAGACATGGGAGGGTGGATATGGAGTGGACTGCCGGGATCGGGGCTGGAGGATGTGGAGAGGACGGTTGCAGAGAGTTGACTTGGGGGGTGGGAGGGCGATAGAATCCAGGGGGTTCAGAGAACCAAGGGACAGAGGGAAGGGGGGTCTGGCTTCTGCCCTTGCTGGGTTACAGAGTCAGGGAAGAGGTCTGCCACAGAGCACAGCTACGGAAGTTGGGGTGGCAGGAGCAGCCTGTTAGGATTTCCGGAGGGAGGAGGGGCGGTCAGGGAACGCCTGACTGGCTGCTGGTCCCAGCGGGTCCCCCGGCTTTGGGCTGGTGTCTCCTCAAAGTCCTGGTGGAAGGCTGGTCCAAGGTCACCTTTCACCCACTCTGACCTTGAGCAGAGCCTGGCTTCCTTGTCTCCTTCCTGGTACTCAGGTGGGCTGGGGCAGGCCCTGGGCTGGGCCTCCCTGGGGCAGGCCAAGTCTGACTCATGCAGGGCCCACCCTGCCCCATGGGGCCTGGAGCAGCTGGCCAGGGTGTGGGCCCCCTTCCGCTCACCAGCTGGCTACGCTCCCAGGCGGGTGCTTAGGGACCTGCTGTGTCGCTGGAAGAGTTCAGAGAGTCCTTCAGAGGGTTTGTCTTCTGTTTGGCCAGTGCCTAGGAGCTCTGGCATCATGGTGGTCACACACTGGGCTGCTAACTCCAAGGTCAGCAGTTTGATACCGCCCGCTGCTCCACAGGAGAAAGACTAGGCTTTCTATTCCCGTAAAGGGTTGCAGCCTCAGAAGCCCACACGGGCAGTTCTGCGCTGCCCCACAGGGTCCCCGTGGGCCAGAACGGGCTCGATGACCCTGGTGGGGAGTGGCTTATGAGGGTGGGCCCTTCACCTCGGGGTCCGCAGTTCGAAACCACCAGTGCTTAAAGCACTCACTGCTAACTGAAAGGCCGGCCAGGGTTTGAGTGGGGGGCAGTTGGCCTATCCGGATTTACAGCCTCAGAAACCTGGCGGGGGCAGCTCTGCTCTGCCCTGCCCTGTGTGATTCGGTGGGTTTTTAAGGGGCTGAGTGCCATGCCCGACAGAGGCTCATATTAGCCCCAGAGTGACGCTGCCACTTGAGGACAGTGACCGTGAGGGCTGGCTTCCCTGTCCCTGGAAGTCCACGGGCGCACCTGGGTGTTCAGGTGTTGTCACCTGTCTGCTGGGGCCGTTGTGAGCACCGTGGCGCCCCCTTGTGGCAGCCTGGGGAATGAGCCCCCTCAACTCTGCTGCCATCGAATCCATTTCCACTGGCTGCCCGGCTAGAACTGCTCCCTTGGGTTTCCCAGGCTGCCCATCTTTACAATGGCAGAAAGCCTCATCTGGCCCCATCGATGGTGTGGTGGGTTTGAACGGCTGGCCTGTGGTTAGCAGCCTAACATGTAACCCCCTGCCCCCGAGGCCCCTCCCACCCAAACCAGCCTGCCTTCAAACTGATTTGGACGCAGCGAGCATTCAGGACAACTGCCTCTGTGAGTTTCCAAGACTGCATCTCTTTCCCTGAGTAGAAAGCCCCATCTTTCTCTGGAGGGGCGGCTGGTGGTTTCGAACTGCCCATCTTGTGGTTAGCAGCCCAAATCAGAACTTGCTTTCGCCACCAGGGCACCTGCCAGGCCCATAGCACACAGGCAGAACAGAAATCTTATCCTGCCCTGGGAAAGCAGCTCAGGTGGTTCTGCTGAGAAGATATTATGGTCTGCTCCCCACAGCATGGGTGGTTCTGGTCCCACCAGCGCTCTGTGGGAGACAGATGAGGCTGTCCACTCCTGTAAAGAACGTTTTGTGGCCTCGGAAGCCCTCGGTGGCAGTGGACGCCTGCCTGTCTTGGGGCCAAGAAGACCTACCCTGTGGGACGTGCGGGGGACGAGCCAGGTCCTTGTCTTCATGACCAGGATGGATGGGAAACTGGTCCGGGGGTATCCTTGGGGATAGGAGAACCTAGGGCACAAATGATTAAGTGCTGGTGCTTCAAACCCACCCAGAGGTGGGCCTGAGACCTGCTTCCTGCAGAAGCCCCTGTGCAGCTCCACATTACACCCACAGGCTCCTTGGAGCTGGGAGTTAACAGGCTGCTTGTCCTGCCCAGCCACCTAGGGCTTGCCCCTCAGACGCTGGCTGGAAGTGCTACTCCCCTGGGGTGGGGTTCTCATGGGCTCCGCCTCCTTCAGGAGACGTGCCGGGGCCTTGGACTGTCCTCATCCTGTCCTCGTGGCCCCTCCCCGCGTGGACGCGTGTTCTTTGGGCTTTATTGACCCAGG